GTCTATGCGTGAATTTTTTAACTAATACTACTTAAAAGTGTAAAGGTGGGTTGTTGTGTATGCGTGTAATTGCATTTCTTTTGCATTTATTTTTTACTAGTGTCAGGCCGCAATGAGAAAACTGGGTCGCGAAACGTCCTCCCAGGCAGTGGTAAATGCGGCACCGCCGTCAGGCGCCCTGGAGACCCTGCGGATGAACGTCCCACCGATTATTTACCTTCTCGTCACATTCTTGTTTGCTCTCGCCGTGGGCAAATTTATGCTCTAGGGCGGTATGGAAGCAGAGAAGGAGGAAAGTTGATGAGGCAATAAAACGTAGACAGACACCACCGCAGTCCTTTCATTTTCTTCCCACTGAAACGAGAAGTCTGTGTTTGCTCGCTTGCGAGTCTCCATTGTTGTATTTCCCTTTTTTCTTCTGTCCCAAAAGCACATCTTTGGTTTTGTTTCTTTTCGTCACCATCCTATCTCCCGTGTATAGTTTCGCTTGTGTGGCTCTAGCAGTCGTAGAGGCGTCTAAAAGCGGCACGTACTCCTCTTTAACCGCCTCTCCTCTTCCACGTCTCTAATGCTCCTCTCCTCCTCATTTCCTCTTCATTTGGTCTATTGGTGTCATTTTCCCCCCTCGGTCTCATCCCTTTATTACTCCGTGAGTAGAGGTGACGACCGATAGCACCGTTGAGAGTAATGAACTATGATAACATCGATAATTCTGATGCTGTTTTGTCTTTTTTGTCTCTTTCCATATCTACTGAGTACGCTACAGAGGTTCGCGCTGGATTTTCGAGTTGTACGTGTTTGTGGCCTTGATTGCTTCCATCTCGTGTCTTGGTCGTTTAGCTTGATTGTTTTGGCACTTATTTTCATCTCCTATGGAGCAGTCTTGGTCAGATGGCACTGCGTCACCGCCATTGGCCCTTTGGCAGTGTCTGAGGCAACAGTCTACGTTTCGACTCAGGGCCAATTAGAATCACCATTTTGACTCAGGCTGCTTGACGAGTCGGTCTGGTTGGGGTAAGGTCATGTTTGACCAGCGTATTTATT